TCTCTGGCTCGCTCTCGCTGGCTCGGAGCTCGCGGCTGACATCTAGACCGAGGGAGAGCTGCCGGCAGAGGGGGCAGGGGGCGCCTCCCTACACTCTCCCACCCGCCGCCGCCTGGCTCGCCGGCTCTGGCCCTACCAATGTTTGCCGACACCTCCCTGGGTCCCCTCGGCCCGCACGGAGCCACCCTGGCAGTGGCGATGTGGGGCGGAGAGGGGGGCATACATGGGTGACCCGGGCGCAAGGCGCGCGCTCAGAGGGAGGCACCCAGCCGCCTCGGAAGGTGCAGCTCTGGGCGCTGGCCGTCGGAGGGACCCTCAGGTGCTCAGAGCTGACACGAGCGCACACTGACGCCGAGGCATACACCCATTCCTACTCAGAACCCCTCCCAACACCCCACCAAGTCACCCCCACATGGCACCCAAGGAGGCCGAGGACACCGAGGGCACAAGGCCTGCACGAGAGAACATGAGTGGTCAGTGCCCCAGAGCTGGCTTGGTAACCTGACTTTTCCAGTCATATTTATACTGAGCGGTTCTCCTGGCTCCTCTCTTCTCTGAAACCCTGGATCCTAGACTACACCCAAAACAGACCATGCCAACATCAGGGTGGTTTCTGAAGTCCAAAGAAAGAAATTACCATGTGGTTCTGGTTTAGGCAGTGGAGATGGGGAGTGGGTGGCACTACCTCCCAAACCTCTGCCTAGATCCCGTTAGGAATGGGCCCACCCACCAAGAGAACCCAAAGGGATTCCCACACCTGTTATCGCAACTCTGTGCATACCTCCCTCATCCTCATCCCGGCTCCCAGCATAGTCTCAGGGAAGTGGCACCTTCAGCAGTGTCCAGTAGGCATTCCCTGGGATAGGCAACCATCAAGGACGACCCTCTAAAGGAGTCAACGGCTCTTGGCCTCCTCTCTCCTGTCCCTTCTTTAGTTTTCCGTGTCCTCACACCCAGCAACTCCCTGCCCATTACTGTCCCTCCCATCAAAACATCTCAGAGCCTCCTTATTAGATGGACATGATTGATAATGGCATAAATTCCTATACCTCCCTATATGGGTTATATTCTCACAGAAAACAAAGTTGTGTGAATTGGGGAGCCTTTGAAAGGAGCTGTGAGATGATAGTTTAAACAAGCCCCAAGGTGAGCAGCACATGTAGGTCAGGCTTGGCCCACCCATAGAGGACCCCACTGAAACTTTGCTCTCACCAATGAGAAAATGAACCAAGCCAGAATGAGGAGTAAACCAGATGTTTGATTCTTTGGTTAAAGGATATTCCAGGAGACAGCGTGGAGCCCTTTTAGTCTCTGCTTCTCTGCTAAGTATTGCATGGCCCAGAGAGCAGCAAGGAGTTATCTTATTAAGCTTACGTGAATACATTGATCTGGCTCCACTCTTCCCAGAAACCCTGAATCCCAGACTCTAGATAAAGCACACAATATCAGGTTAGTTTCAGAAGTCCAGAGACACACATAACAAAATCACTCAATGCTACTGCCTCTTGGACATCCTTCCCGGGTGGAGGAAGCCCAGGGCCAAATGTCTCTCTGTGCAAGACTGGGATTAGCATGAGGCCAGCCAGGCACTGAGGATACAAAATCGAAGGAAGTCCCCTCACCCCCAGATCCATGTAAGGTTTGCATCACCTGATCCTGGCACTGCTTCTAGGTGCCCCTTTTAAAATTGCTGCATGGGACCATCACAGTCCATTCCCACAAGTGAGAGCCCAGATAGCCCCACGAAAGTTCCTAATGGGTTACTTAAGGAATATTGTTCAATAAAAGCAGGGCAGGGGGTACTCCTTCTGCATATCTGTTGGCCACTCAGTATGCCATAAAATGCTGAAAGGAAGGGGGGAAGGTGAGAAAACAGCTCTGTCTCCATTCTCAGTCATTCTGGCATGTATTTTTAATACAATCTGATTGTCTTTTTCCTCCTCGTATCAGGCGTGTGTGTGTTTGTATGTGTGTGTGTGTGTGTGTGTGTGTGTGAATATGGCTTGAGTTCCAGGCCCATTTCCTGATGGATAGACGGGAAGTCAAAGACCTTTTTCTTTTTTTTTTTCAGAGGTGGCAAATAAAATGTGTTTATTATTCTTTATCTCCTGCCTAGTGTGTGGTGTCATTTATTTTCATTCAGAGAAATGAATGCCATGTGGTGCCTGAAGAGTAATAACAGAGCCAAATGACAGGGAAGACATACAGCAAAAAGCTGGACCAGCTATGGGCAGGTGAGGGGCCCAGCCAGCTCTCCGTTGTTAATGGGGCCATATCTCAAATTGCCTTTTCCCTGCTTTCCTTTCACTGAATAACACGGTGAAAGGCATACTGAAGGGGGCAGTTATCACATTATCAGAAGGAGGAGCAGAAAGGGTCAAATTAGCCGCAGTAGAGGATTTTTTTTTTCAGTGATGGCCCATTGGATTGACTCCCTTAAGTTAGGAGAATGGAATGGGGTGGGATGAGTAGAGCCTCCACATTGGAAGTTAGAAGACACATGTCCTACTTCTGGTCCTGTCATCGGCTTTATAATTTGGAGCAGGTCACGCCCTCTCAATGATACTTCATCTCTCATTTGACACATTTGCCCCTTAGAGTTGCAATGACATTCAAAGGATATACCATCTTATTAATGTGCTTTGAAACTCAAAGGTAAGTACAAAACACATGTAGGGAATTAGGGTCACTTTCCAGACAAACGTATCTTTTTTATTTTCAAATAGAATGATACAATGAGGGTAGGCCTTCTGCTGTCTTGTCCGCACCCCATGAATAAACGCACAGGCAAAGGCAGCATCTTACCACAGTTCAAAATGTGTTTCTGCATTAGATACAAGTTCTTTTGACTCTCACACCTCCTCTACCCCCTCCAACTGACGAAGGCTAAGGGAGACACAAGTAGGACCATCTAGCTGTCCCCTACTGACAATGGCTCTGAGAGTCACTCCCTCTGTCCCTTGTCTGGTCGTGAAGCTGGTTATGTCATTGTCTGGACCCACGGCCACAAGAGGGAGAAGCTAAATGGCATATTGCTTCAGAGAGTCCTGTTTTCTAAAGAAGCTATGTTTGTGGGACTTGGGTTGGGGTTTATTGCTGGGTTTAGACAGAAAAAGTATTGGTTCATCTCTCACGGCTGAATAAAAGGACCAGTTTAATAGGAAAGAGGAGAAGAAACCCTTAAATTTCCCTTCACTTAGCTACCACCATTTTATTAGCCTAGGAACAGTGCTGCTATTTAAGTTGATAAAAGCCAGATTTGCTCGTTAAATAAATCACCAGAGCCTGGTGGTGCTAGAGAGACATTTTCTTTTCCCCAAGAGCTGCCCTCACGGCTGAGTCTTGTACCTTGCACTGGACAGAAACCACAGGCAGGCAGGCAGCAGCTTAAAAACCTAAATTGTGGCGCCACCTGCAGGACAGCAGAAATATCATCAGTATCCCACAGCTCAGCAGAGGAGGCAAGAGGAGCCTTCTGCAGTGACATGGGTGATGCCAGGGTCCCCTCTGGCCCCTGCTTTCTGCATGTGTCACCAGATGTCCACAGCACACTCCAGCAGCCTTTAATATGCATCCTCCTTGAATGCTGCCATTTCAAGGCATGGACGGCAGCTCTCAAGATTCTCAGTCCATTCAAACTAACTTATTCTTCCCTCTGTCTCCCAAGGGACTAAGTGGACCTCTAAGCCAAGTCTTCGAGACTGGACCATGGAACAGTAAAGCAGAAAGGAGAAGTGACTGCCTTTCGAGGAAGATGAGGGGAGGAACATCCTTGTGTCACCACAGTGCCTACTAGTAGGTTGAACTTGGTGGCTGGGTATTCATAGCAGACCCAACTGTTCCAGGCTTCCCTAGCATATGGGTGCAAATGAGCACAGAGATATTAACATTCGAATCTCAACTCCCAGCCTTTTCTGCTCAGATAAGACTTTGGCCACCACCGAGAAACCCCTCCCTGTCTCTTCCCATTATGTCAGAGACCCCCTGTGCTTAGGAACAAGTCTGACCACTTCATTCACCACGAGTACCCTCTTGGAAATCCACTGCCCATGAGCCATTTGATGGAAGGACATCTCTGCATTGCCAGCTCTGTGGTTGCCCTCTGTAAGGGCACCTCCACCAGGCTGCACTGCTGGACATGGCAAGCTCTGCTGCAGTGCCATGGCTTTCCAAGCCACACCTGGGGATTGGTGTTTAAGTAGGGAGGACACCCCTC